TATTTGATACATAAATGTTATAATTTTTTTTGACAAAATAAATGTTATAAAATTAAATTTGTACAATCATTTCTATTTTTTATCATTAACCTCTGAATCCTAAATTTTAAATAATAAACTCAACATTCTAAATATCGTAACCTTAGATAATAAATTTGATTTTACACCATATATAGTTAGACATTTTAAATATATATATATATATACATATATATTATTTTTTATTTTTTAAAATTTTGAGATAAAAAATATATTATAGGAAACAATCTTAATTGTATAGCATCCCATGCTGTATGCAACAAGTTTGATTTGCCATCTTCCAGTGGCACATATCTCTGCATCACCAACTTAAACAATGTCATATGCCAAACATGGAGCAGGACACAAGGCCCAAGTGTTTTGTAGCATTTAAGATTTACCTTCTGGGGACATGATTTGTAGTTCTCACCCCACCCACCACTAGCTCTGTGGGTGCTAAGTAGGAATTGAACACCTCTGCGCATCGCTGCGCAACTGGTATATGTCTTGCGTGCCGCTGCAAGCCCTCCGAGTGCGAACCACGTACCGTACGTGAAGCGAACTCCCCACTTGCCATACCTGTTGAAGTGTTTAATCTGATTCGACTCTAATGCTTTTCGAAAAATTAATCATAAAAGGCTTATTCGATTAAATCCAGAAAGCGCATACCATGAACCATCGGGCATTTGTATATCTTCAAGGTAGTGTATAGCATTCGTAATGAAATTCTCAGTCTCTTTCTTCCTGTGCCCAGGGTACAACTTCTTAAACAGAACCAAGGCATGGATTGAAGATGCTGTGCACTCAATGTATTCATGCTCGGTGACTATATCGGCCAAAAATTCGGTGGGATTAAGCATCTGGAGAAGAAGAACAAAGAAGGAACCATCATTACCATATGTTAACTAAGAGTACACCAGAGTTTAAATATCAATGACTAAGCACTTACTTCCAACCACTCTTGAGCTCCAGCAGGCTCTCAGGCAGCTAATCCTCCATTTTTGCTCTATATTTAATAATTGAAGCGTTTTAAGCTTATCGAAAAGACGGAAAACTTTAACTAAGTGAAAGGTATCCTTGAAAATCTAGGGTGATCAAACTCTTACCTGAAGGGAGAGTATAACATTGACTGCATCATATAACTGCTGAGGCTCCATTTTCTCACCAACAATTTCTGGTGGCAACATGGACATGAGCAGACAACATTGCAAAACAGAGGAATATCTGTAAAGATAACAAAAGAATATTTTTTTAGAATGCGTTTGATTGAGACTTAAGAAATCAGTTGCCTTCAAGCCTTCTGCAGTGCAATCAGAAACTTGCAATCCATGATTCTTGATCAGAGAAATTCCAAGATCCCTTCGAAATGTGACGGTACATTTTCTTAAAGTCACCGGAAGGATTGTCTTTGACCTAGTCATTATAATCAAAAGATAACAATTATTGTCGGTCGACATTTGATGAGCAACAGAAAAGATTGGAAAAGACTTAATGTTGAATGAAAGTTGATATTAAACCTGAGATTTCTTGATGGAAGTTATGTCCTCTCTTGAGTACAGGTCCAATTTGTGCAGTGAGGTTACTTGCAAGCAAAGCTTGAACAGCGAAACCAGTATCCCATTGTTGACTTCCAAAGCTCCGCAGACCAAAAGTCATGGATTTTTTTCAAATGAAAACCAATGCTTGAAATAACAAGAGATTCGAGAATGGATGTGCACAAACCTGCATCTTCATTCCATCTTCAGCTACCCAAAGGTAATCCAGGATTCGAGCAAGGTGTTTCCTAAAATAGTCACTGTTTGGCTCTTCAGCCCAACAGGCGAGCATGCATAATACCTAATGACACCAGATGGTTGGCAATCAAATAGCCATTCATACATGTATCAAATTTTTGAAACCTCAACTATGATCATAAAACTACCTTCTCCACACAACCAATGGTGATGTATCTGCTATTTTCATCTTCATAGTGGATGTGTTCCATTGTTAGTTGGAGAGCCTTCTCTCTGATCAACTTGTTAAGAAGCCAACGAGTAAGCAACGGTTCGGTACGTATATATAAACTGTCCCACATCAGATCCTGAATCAAAGGGTGTGGATAGTAGATATCCTCCTGTAACAAAAAAATGTTTTATCAATGTTTTATGAACTTAATTCTGGTGTCGTTAAATATCCTTGCAGTTTGTTATTTGAACTCAACAGAGATAAACTTACAGGTGCACATAAATGGCGTATCTTCTTCCAGTTAATTTTATTGTAAGGCTGAAGGTATAGTTCTTCCCTCAATTGTTTGATGAGAGGCGTGATCGGCCCAACGAACCTTTTTCCGTATAGATAAGACATTGGCATGTACACCATTCGACAGTAGCACCGTATTTTAGCTGCACATTTGAAAGGCCAGTTATGATTAACGTCCTTTATCTATATACATATATGTGTGTGTATATATGAGCTGATATTAGTGCAATGAAATTGATTCGTGCAAACCTGGATGCATAGGAAGGAAAGAAGGAAGGAGCCAGAACTCTGGGGGCATTGGGTTAGCTCCAGACCACTCAAAAACGCCATGTATCTACAAAAAAATGGGAACATTATAAAATTTCTTTGGTTTTCTCAGTCTGAATATGGATAAATTTTAAAGTCAATTTGCAAAACATGTGCATTCATGCAAACAGAAAGCCAAGTCTTTCCCCAAGAGGGCATGTGAGTGACACTGCCATGGTCAAGAATCCACTTGCGGGCTTTCGCACCAGCGTTGTCGAGTCCGCCATCGGGTCCTTCCCCAAGAATACGCATGCAAATGTAGCCAAGTGTGGTGCAGAACATGGTGCTGTGACCTTCTATGTGCAATCCCCAACCACCAACTTCATTCTGCACCACATTCATATAAATGCTTCAGTAAACTTGTATATATACACCAATGATCACAATATATAATATGTACCTGATGGTAGTACTGATCTTCAAAAAAAAAAAAACCTGATGGTAGTATATATAACGAAGGATTTCTCTACGATGCTCTTGGGGGAATATTGTGTAAAGGTGTCCGGTGATATACATACTGAAAATCTGCAATTTTTGAGCAGATAACATAACATTATAGATTAATATTTGCATTTGGTTAAGAATTGATTGGCGAAGGAATTTTAACAAGGGTGGAGGGAAACACAATGGACCAGCATTTTCAGCAGGCCAATGACCGTCACTGGCTTGCAAAGCTGATAAGAAATGGACGGCCCTCCTCGGTGCTGTTGTGGCCTTCTCATATGAGAGTTGCTCACCGTCTTCAATTTTCACTGCTGCTATATTTTGCTTGAAATTCCTTCCCCTGAGAAACTACCAACCATCACTTGATATGAACCACCGAATTCATTCAAATTAAGAGTAGAGAAAGAGCTCCGAAATATATAAAAGAAGGGGCTGCATGTCAAAATAGTCTGTTTCATATGAGATTTCATTAACTATAATTAAGAGTAGACAAAAGTCCATGCTTATAAACTGATATACTTGAAAGATTTTATCCTCAATTTCATTCCCAAGTTAATTTGGTACATTGAATCCAATTTGTTTGGATAAAACTTTTAAAAATTGTTTGTTTTTAAATTATATATCTAAGCAAATTAGTCTGCACACTGCAAATGTGAATAAAAAATTCTTTTAAAATTTAAATAAAATAATATATCCAAAATGTAAACTCTTGGGTGAACTTAAGCTCTTTCCTGCCTCAAATAAATTTTTTAGCTTTAATATTTTATTTATATTAAAATAAATAAAACACAAAAAATGTCAGCCATTATCATTAACAGTGGCATACGTAGGCCCGGGCCTACTGTATCTCATCTCATGCACAAAAAATTAAAGGGTTAACTATAGGTTAGATATTTTACTATAATCACATATTTGATCCCTATTATTCATATATTCTCTCAATTTAATCATACTTTTAATTAATCATCAAACCAAAGGATACCACATGTCACTCTCTTGTTGAAAGAGAGTGAAAGAAAACAAAGCAGAACAAATTAGGACTAAAGGGATTTGAACATAAGTCTTTTGGAAAATTAAGTACATACCTAACCATTGGTCAAGACTAATATTTGTTTTAAAATAGACGACATAGTGTATATATTTTATATCTTATTGTATAAATATTTAACTTAAATTCACAATTTTTTTATATATTAAATTAAAAAAGTTATATTAACTTATTAAATATATCTCATTATTAACTTAATTTAAAAATATTTTATTACATAAATATATTTCAAAATATTTTGAAATTAAGAATAAAATATATTTAATATTTGAAAGTAATAATATAATATATTTAGTAAATTAAGATAAAATATATATTTTGAAAAGTAAAAAATAATAATAATATATTTTGAAAAGTAAAAATAATAATAAAATATTTATAAAAATATATTAAATATATTTTACTTAATTTCAAAATATTTTAATATAAAATATATATTTTAAAATAAAAATAATTTTTTTTTAGATTAAGTTAATAATGAAATATATTTAATAAATTAATATAAAAATATTTTTTAAATTTAATATATATAAAATAGTGTGAATTTAAGTTAAATATTTATATACTAAGATACAAAATATATATTAACGATGATTGTATTTCAAATTGGGCAGATACAATTCAATGTGATCGGGATGCTCTGCCTTCCAATTATTTGGGTTTACCGTTGAATCAGTCGAGCAACTCAATTGATATTTGGAAGCCAATTCTGGATAAAGTGTTGTCCAGACTCGGTGGGTGGAAAGGAAATCTTCTCTCATTTGGCGGGCGAATCACCTTGATAAAATCCGTGTTATCAAGTCTCCCGGTGTATTATCTTTCGTTGGGTGAAATGGGAGGATGTGTGTAAACTAAAGCATTGTGGAGGTTCAAGCATTGTTGATCTTAAATTAAAAAATGGGTCAGGCCATTGGTGCAAAAACAAAGCTGTAATTGGTATGTTGCATCTTAAAGTTCATGAACTGCAGTGATTAGCAAAACACACATCTGGGTTTCGAGTATATTTACAATATCGAATACAAGAAATTATAGAATAACATTTGGGTTTCACATCAAATAATCTCCACCCTTACACCATTTTATTTCCTACTGTAGTTAAACTTGATAACTAAGTTGCGAAAACCTATGTATAACAACAAGCCTCGTTAAAAACCATCCATCAAAAATAGTTGCAGAGATGAAACAATGTCATGGGCCTTGAGTTCGCCTGCTTTGGCTTGATGAATCACAATGCTTTCTCAGTTTTGTTAAGATGAAAGCCACTGCAACTTTAGCACCCAGGCTAGCATGACCACGAGACAGACAGAGCACACCCCCAGCAACAAGCAAACTTTTCGCTACAGTCCTTCTCGATGGTATTCTTGATAACCTTTTCTCCCTGGGTTCACCATTAACAGGTTCAAGAGTGGGCATCGATGCAGAGACTGCTGGAAGAGTATTGCCACTTATCATATCTAATTCAGGCGGAACCTATATGCAGACAGCATATGTCAATCATCAGTACATGAGCTGATCCAAATACAATATCGCCCGAACCAGTTTATTTCTTTTCTTTTTCAAATATAAAGCAGCAGATGCTTAATCATGTGATTCCGTAACCAGAATTTATTTCAATAAATTAATTTTGACAATAGAAGGTCTAAACTAGATAAGTCTCAATTAAAACGACAAGTCTAAAAGGTTAGACTATCCGAGACTAGATTGCTCAACAGTGCAATAGAAGACTTTAGGCTGCTACTGCATATTGCCCTCACTCCTCAGTCCCAGCTTCTTTATTTTTACCTCTGCTATAAAGATAAGATTATCTTACGCATTTCTCAAAAGAAATAACGATACTATAAAAAGATAACATATCCTACCTTATTCTCAAGACCCTAATATTCAACACACGTGAAGGAAACCAAGATAACAGGGTATATTCTTCTACAGCACAGTAAATTAAATCGCTTACTTTTAAGGTTAACAAAGCTATAAAAATCTATCTCTATGTTACTCAAACTTGGGTGCTAGCGTAGGACACACGAATATATATGTCTCACATGAGTCTTAAATGTTTTTCTCTTGGAATAAGGAAATTATAACAAGTTATTGGTAAACACGATCACATTAGAAAAGGGATATATATTAATCAATATAATAATGCAGACCTTCTGAATCAGAGTGACGGACGAAACAGATGGAGCAGTCAGAGGGCGGTTGGTCGCAAAATACTTGCGTAGTGCATTATCCATCTTACATACATAACTCCATATGCCCTTTGAAAATGCTAGTTTTGCCATTTCCACATTCAGACCAGCATCTTCTTGGTGAAACATTATGATCTCAGAGGCATCTCTACCAGCTACTGTACAATTAAAGTTAAAATTCAGAATCACAAATAGTCAAGTAATAATGGGAACAAAAAAGAAACAAGATAAAGAAGCATATAGGTACATCATCCCTTATTCCCTTTTATTCCCCTCCCAAGAAAGTTCAATATTTTCAATGCCTTGTGTAGAAACACTTTGGAAAGAATTAAGAAATGCATTGTCACTAATGACTCAAACCGGAGTCTGAAAAAGCTTGATTTGGTGACAAGATCATCATTCACTTTTCTATTTTTCTCGTGCGGAGAGAGAGGGACTTTCACGTGCAGGAGCACATTGTGCAAGTACATAATTCAATCTAGAAAAAAACTTCCTGAGATATTTCACAGCTCCAATGAGAAACCACCGACTCTTTATGTTTCTTAGTAACAGATAAGTATACGAGACACTTGCCTTTCCTGATTTGCCAACCGGATCTAAAATATCTTACACGAACATACTTTTTATGTCTCGGTGCAGATGGATGTTCACATTCCTAGTCAATCATAACAAGAATTAAAACAAAAGTCAACCACGATTTGATAGTAAGCATAAACATGGATCAACACTGTAGAAAAACATAAGTATTTGCATGAAGAAATTTTGATATTGTACTGGGGGATTAAAGGGGAAAACCCCACGTATTTGCAAGAACCTGGTTTAGAACCCAGACTTAAGGGAACTCCCCCATTTCTGATCCCTACTATCATTCCTGAACATAGTAAAGGCTTTTCACAAATGACAGCGTGAGTTCAGTGAGGAAAAATTCCAGTATTAGTAACTTTTAAGTATAAAACATATACATCACTTTCATATTAAAGATATTGTCAGTCATGTTCTTAATCCTTAATATCAGTTGTAGAATTTCCACTTTCCAAAAGAATCTGAATCAGACGAGAACTTAACATATGATGAAAGACCAAGTTACAGTGACAGTCACCTTGGTAAAGCAGTAGAATGTTCTATCTTTTCCCTCCCACAATCTCCAAGCCAGTACATATTCTCTAGGTGTCAAAAGGGGAAACTTTTTTACTGTGCGGCCAATTTCAATCCCATTTGTTGTGTCCACCTGCAGCTGCACATGATCAATCACCGTTTTATCCCACTGCTTTCTATAATCATTGTCCATATAGAAGTCTCTCAGAAGCTCCGGAGAGCAACTATCAAATACAGTCGTGCTCAAATATTTCAGTGGTTTATCCTGCAGTCAACAACAAGAAAAATTACTTTCAGTTTGCTTCACCTCTTGAATTACATACTGGCCTGGTCCAGCTGTAAGCAGACTGTAATTGTAACTTAAACCCGTCCGACAAGTCGAATCGACCTTGAGTTCAATGAATTGGCATATACGAGTAAATGATTGAAAGTACTGATTTTAGAAAACTCAACTACATTGTTAATATAGATGAAGTGAATCAAATCGACCTTAGGTCTGCAGCATTTTGCATTGTAGGAAAGAAAGTTGGTTTTCTTGTCGATTACATTCTCCCATTTCTCGTCCTCATTGAGCTTCTCATCCAAATTATCAATCAAAAACTTCAAGTCTGAATCAGATACGATCTCTGGGATTCTACACGTAGCAAACACAAACTCCAAACCAGTTATCTAGGTAACATTGAAACCCCTCCATACGAAAAAGTTAAGTAACAACTACAAATATTTTTAGCTTTAAAAAAGAAAACAAGTTTAATTTTTCCATTGTGGATTGTTGAATTTATGGAGACGGCAACAGAAAAAAGTTTCCCCACCATAAAAATATCTAATTAAGAAATAGTTAATAATATATTTAAAGATGAGAAAAACTCGACTCGACTCGAAAAATAGATTCTTTGACTTGACTCGATTAGAAAAAACTCAACTCGAATTGGCTTCAAATTGTAATTTCATAAACTCGACTTGAAGAAATTTCAAGTTCAAATCGTGTTGTAAAATACAATTCGAATAACTCGAAATTTTTAATAATTAATAGATTGATTTTTATGTTTGGGTCGAATCACTTGACTTTGTATAATATATATATATATATATATAATACAAAAATATATATATTGTATATGGTTATAAATATCATTTTAAATTACAATCAAATAATATCATAACATTATAAATATTTACAATTAAATTTAAATAAAAAATCAAAAAATATTATAAACCCGATTAGAATTAAATTTTTTTTAAATCAATTATAAAATAAGACTCAACTAGAATAATTCTATTTTTTTTAATATACTGACTTGATCGGGCGCTCACCCCTAAATATGTTCCCTAAAGTGCATGTTCTTCACATTTTGATAGTAAAAGTTGCAGATGATAAGACCAAAAGAAACATTCAATAACTTCCGCTTCTGGAAATTAAATAAAAACAAAACATACGAGAAAGACTAACAGAAAACTTTAAAGATGTGGTAAATTAAGGTCTAGCCGAAGAGTGATGCGAAACCCAGAAATATAGATGCAAATCCAAAAGAGCCTATTCAACAAAATATTAAGAAGATAAAGAAATTGAAGCTCAATCAACAAAACAGGCAAAACTGTACCAAAACCCCAATAAGTGAACAAATTTGAGTGAGAAAGACGGCAAGATGAATAAACTAAAAGGAACCCAGATTAGAAAAGAGCATCAAAAGATTACCTTGATTGAGAATCAGGAGTAGAACTGGATGTAGAAGAAGAAGAAGAAGAAGGAAGACGACGAGTGGACGAAGACGGAAGGAATTTAGAGTAGAATTTCTTGGAAAGATGAAAAAAGAGTATAAGAAGAAGAGCAATAAGAGTGGCTCTGAGGTTAAGGAACCACCAAAATTCCATTGAAGAGACACTCGTCATCTTCCCTTCGGTCGTCAGGCTACCCACCTCGAATCCTAAACTCTTGCCTTCAACCTAAAATGATAATTTTGCCTCTCTTTGGGCACAGATTGAGTTAAGCGTGGGTGAAATCAATTGCAGACTGTGTTGGAGATCTCCTGCACAATTTTTTATTATATATTAGGAAAATGTATACTTCTTGTATAAAAACTATATCATACTTTGAGTTGATATAGTGTGAGAGAAATTGTCCAAGCTCCTACCTAACAAAATCCGAAATTAGATTGTATATACCGTTTTTGTCTGGATTTATAAATTATTATTATTTACTTATTTAATATTATTATTATCTATTATTATTATTATTTAGTTAATATTATTATCTATTATCTATTATTATTATTATTATTGATTTTTTATTTTACATTTTGTAGGCCCATAATTGAGGCTCAATTTACAAGACTCAAGCTGAAGCCAAGCCAGTAAATTCTACCCGACTAAACTAGGGTTTTTAAACCATAGCCCTAATATGACCTAACCCTAAGGAGTTTCTTCCTTCACATCATCACCACTATTCCGATCACGTACTCCTATCATCCGCCAGTTGCCGTTTCAACCACTCAGCATCATTATCTCGTACAAACAGCGAGGAAAATCAGTAAAAAATCAACCAAATCCAAAATCCTTGTATACAAAATTAAAATAATCTCGTAAAATCGAGAATGATGTAAGAAAATCATTTCCCCTATCAAATTGCCACCATAGCTTCACCAAAACTAAACCAAAAATACATATAAACCAATATGCAAGCAAAAAGGGGAGATAAAATCAGGGGGAAAAATTAGAGGCGGTTCGAACCAAAAAAGAAAAAAAGGAAAAGTCGAGCCAAAAAAAGAGAGAGAGAAAATACCTGAGAAAAAGAAAAAAAAGGAAAAAAAATACCTTACTCTAGTTCGGAGCAAGTCAGAAAACTGAAAGTCGCTGAATTTTTGAGTTTTTGAAAGGTAAAAACCCTATATCTAAGAGATTTAGTTGTGTTTTATGCAAAACCAACCTCAGTTTCAGGTAGGGGTGAGAATAGGCTAGGCCGGCCTACAGGGGCCTACATAAAATCTGGCCTGACCTGGCCTATTTAATAAAAATGCCAGGCTCGAGTTTTTTTTAAAAGCTTGTTAACTTAAATAGGCCAGGCTCAGGCTTATTTTTAAGCCTTATAAGCCTGATAGGCCGACTTGTTTATATATATATATGTGTGTGCTGATAAATTTTATTGATTTCTCATGCGTTGATGCCAAACATGGGCAGGGGATGGGCGCTGTTGTTGGGCATGGTGTGGCGTGGGGAACAACAAAATATGGGAGCTGCTGTCAGGCAAGGTGCTTGCCTGGGGAACAACAAAGTGTGGGCGTTTTGTTTGGCTCATGCAAGTTTTATTGAATAAAATATTATATTCATGCATGTTGGGAACAACAAGTTGGATTTATGGAAAAGTGAAATAACATGCGTAATGGAAATTGGAGAAAGTTGAAACATAATGGAGTCATGTTAGCTCAGGTTGCGCATAACTTTTGTCTCTTCCAGTTGCAATTAAAAATTAGGCTTTTAAACAAGCTTTTAAATAGGCTTTTAATCAGGCCAGACTTTTACAAATGTCAGGTCGAGCCGAAAAGAAGCCTTTGACAGGCTACAGGCCAGGCTCAGGCCTACAAAATTCTTCTTAGACCAGGCTCAGGCCTATTAAAGCCTGACCTGGCCTGGGCTATTCCCACTCCTAGTTTCAGGCTTAGGGGAAAGAGGGGATTTCTTTTGTAAGATTTGGTTTTTTTCAGCCACCAACAGTGGTGGCAGACAACGTCGGCGACTGGTTTCCCCCTCCCCCGACGAGGGAAGTAGAGAAAAATTGAATTTTCTCTCTCTCAGCTAGGACCAAATGGAAGAAAATGGAGAGGGAATGAGAAATAAGCCTTGTTTTTTGAGCTTTTATAAACTGGGCAAAATGACGTAGTTTTGGACTCCCTATTCTCGTGTTTTCATAGTTTCAGGGGAAATTGCAGTTTAGTCATCGTGCATATTTATGGATTTGAGCGTTACATGTTTTTAGTTTTACGTTTCAATCATCGTACATATGTTTTAATGTTTTGGTTAAATATTTGGTATGATCTATCAATTTGTTTTTTTATTTCATTTTAGTCATTTTTTTATTATTTATCCAGTTTCGATTTATTTATGTTTTCAGTCCCTATATTTTTTGTTATATGTAAATTAATCACTATTTTAGGCTTAAAGATATAGATTATTGCCTAGTTAGCTCTATGTTTTTTTTATTTCTGCTGATTCGGTCCTTGTTTGGTTTGTTTATTGTATATTAGTGCTTATAACTAAGCATGTGCATATTTTTGTTGTAAATATTGTTATGCATGTGTTGCCATATTAAATATTTATATATGTATGTCTATGTGCATGTATATTTATATGTTTTACATAGTATATTTATGTACATTTTTTTTAATTTTTGTTAAATGCTTATTTATTTAATAATTTGTTAAATTACACTCGCTCGAATATTTTCAAGAATGCTCGCCGTAGAATGGGCGTGAAAAGTAAGTCCCTATAGAAAAGTATAATTCGACGACATTCGAACGAAAAAATGAACTTGAAAAAAATCTTATCTATTTTATGTGTAATTTTGTGATTCTAAATAATTAATCATTGTTCTATAAAAACGATCGTATTTTAATTTTAGACTCGAATTTGCAGATTCCACTATTATGACAACATACAAGCGATCACGTAAAACGTTTTCCAAAAAATGTTTTCCTCATTTTTCAGTATTTGGTTGGAGGAAAACTGGTTGGTCAACATAAAACATTTTTCTGTTCAACAGAATTTCCTTTATGTTTTCTGGAAAATGACTTACGGTCTGATTTTTCGTAAGTCATTTTCTGAACTTTTCACTTCAAAAAATAAATACTCAAAATAATTTTATTTTATGAATTTAATATTAATAAAATATTTTAATATCATTTTAATCAAAATATTAATTATTAAAATATTTAAAATATATTTATTAATATTTATAATAATATAATACAATATTTTTAATATTATAATAAAATAATCAATTATATTATAATAATATAAGATATTATATTATATTTTAATAATATATAATAAATTATTAATAAATTTATATTATTTATTAATTTAATAGAAATAATATTACTAAATTATTAATAATGAATAATATTATTTATATATTTAATATTAATATAATAATCTAATAATATTTTAATAAAGTTATTTAAAATATACTAATTAATATTTTTTAAAATATAATATAACACTACTACTTTAATAAATAATTAATATAATTTATAATATTTTTATTTCAATAAAATATACCAATATTAGTATTTTTATTAATAAAATTATAAAAAAACTTTATAATAAATAAATTATTTTAATATTTTAAAAATAATAATATTAAGTTTTATGATAAATAATATTATTTATTGTATTTAATATTTGTAATAAATAATTTTTAAAAAATTCATCAAAACATCGTAAAACGTTTTTCAGAAAATGTAATTAATTTTAAAGAAAATATTTTTCGGAAAACGTTTTCAGTGAAACAAACGGACCCTAGGTATCAATTTTGGGTGTTGTGGGGGTCTTCACCGTTTCCCACGTGTAATAAACTCTCGGACTCTTAAAAACGATTTTTTGGTAACACATACTAATTTTTGTCTTTAAAATAATTTTTATTAAAATTGTTTTAAACGATATTTTTATGTATTCGACCTATCTAACTTAAAGGTCGATGGCGACTCCAATTCGAATTAAAATTTTAAATTCATCAAAACCCTAAATTTTCAAAAATTAAGTCATAATTGATTTTTAATTCGAATTTCTTCTCATTGTAATCTACTTTTTGGAAATAAAATTATGGTCAGGTTTTTTAAAATTAATATTTAAAACAAAAGGAAAATAGTTTTTTTTAAAGGGTACACTTATTCTTTTAGGATTTTTTTCTTTTATTTATGGGTAAAGTATAGTAATGGTCACTGAACATTTTTGAAGCTTGCATTTAGGTCTCCCAACTTTTAAAACTTGCAATACAATCCCCCAACATTTATTCCGTTTGCAATATGGTCCCCAACTTAAACCACCGTTAGAAATTAGGGTAAATTATATAAAAGGTTATTGAACTTTTCAGACACTTGAATTTAGGTCCCCCGACTTTTAAAACTTGCAAAACAGTCCTCAATTTCATTCTAAACCCCAATTTCCAAAGTAATTCAATTTCATTCTAAACCCTAAATTCCAAAATAATTCAACTAAATTCAATTATGTCAGATTTATTATTATTTAATTTCATCTTATTTCATGTGATACGTATTTTTATATAAATATAATAGTATAATTCTTATCTGTTGAATAAATTTTTTAATTAAAAAAGTAGTTAGGATATAGAAGAGGTTGAAAATAATTCGAATTTTAAAATTTTAAAATGTTATTTTGACGTATAAATAAAAGTGTAAACTACTAGGTTGACAACTTAACTATCTAGCCCTTTTTACTTTTGTCATCGATCTTTTAAATTTATCAATTATACAACATAATTATCTAACTGTTTCAACTAAGCCACTAGTCGTTACCAATTGATACAAATGATGAAGTGGCAGTTAAAAGGAATTGACATTATTATACATTCAGTCTTTATTATTTATATAATCAATTTGGTCCTAAATTAAATAGAATTTAATAAATTAATCATTTAATTAGGATCTGACATGTGTTAGCACATGATCATGACACGTGTCATTGGTGACACATGTCACCACCTAATTATTTATATATGCTATCAATTTGGTCCTAAATTAAATAAAATTTAATAAATTAATCATTTAACCAGGATCTGACATGTGTTAACACATGATCATGATATATGTTATTGGTGACACATGTCACCACCTAATTAGAAGAAAATTAAGTTACAAAGAAGTAAAATTTGGGTCTTGGGCAAACTCAAACCTGAGTCACGCAAATGAAAGATACAGGGTGGAGCCACTAAGCTAACACCATCGTTTGTGTTAAGAGATATACAATAATACATATACTAATAGTATGACCAATGCCAGAAAAAAAAGAATATAATGGAAAATGGAAATAATGAGATTTGAACTTCGGCAAAAAATTTGAAAGCAATAAATGATGGGAAAATATTATATTTTTTTACAATAAAAAATATTATATTTGATAAATTGTTTGATAGATTTAATATATTTTTTAAATATTAGTTGATACAATATTTTAAAAGAATAAATTTAAGATTTATATATTTTTAAACTAAATTTAATAATTATATTTTTCATATTTATAATTCATGATTATATATATAATCTTAAGTTGAGTATTTCTAATATAATTAATAATTTTAATTTCTTATTAAAAATAAAATATTCAAAAAATATAAATGATTCATACATTAATATATGAATATATTTTTTTATTTATACATCTAAATATAAATATACATTTATATAAATATATTTTTATTCGTATATTGAAATATTTTGATTAAAATATAAACATATTTTAAATACTAGTTTATACAAGAAAAATAAAATATATCAAAAATATAAATGATTCATACATTTAAATATAAATTGAATCATTTATATTTTCTATACATCTATATTTAATAAGAAAATAAAATTATTGGGGGACTGTTTTGTAAGTTTTAAAAGTTGGGGACCTAAATTCAAGTGCCTGAAAAGTTCAATGACCGTTTATATAATTTACCCTAATTTTCTAACAGTGATTTAAGTTGGGGGATCATATTGCAAACGGAATAAATATTGGGGGACTGTATTACAAGTTTTAAAAGTTGGGAGACCTAAATGCAAGCTTCAGAAATGTTCAGTGACCATTACTATACTTTACCCTTTATTTATTTGTTATTGATAAGTAAAATGACTAAATAAGCCCCCAAAGAAGGCGCAAATTTCAATAAAGGGTGTAGAATATTTTCTTCAAATAACTGATAAAAGGTCAATTGATATTGTTAAATTCTGAAAGTAGAAGAGAGAATAGATATGAAAACAAAAAGAAAGATAAGAGGAATATTCAAGGCGTGGAGGGTTGGAGCTAATATTTGGAGCCAAGTAATTTCCACTGGTTGGGAATATTCAACCAAGTAGCTGTCCTTGTCCCTGTCATAGAAAGATAAGAGGAATGGGTGAGGGTCCTATACTCTGTATTGGGGGCTAAGGCTAAGGCTGTAGTTTGAGATAAACATCGACTAGGGCTGTAGTTTGAGATAAACATCGACTAGGGCTGTAGTTTGAGATAAACATCGACTAAGGCTTTTGTTTGAGATAAACATAGACTCAACTCATTCTCTGACTTTTTACTTGGAACCTAAGCCACCTCTTTTTAACTTGGAAAACAAGTTTAGACTTTAGAGTATGGATGGTCATGGGTCGGGTCAAGTCAGGTTGATTTTCAGTCTATTCGATCAAAAAATTTTAAATCATCTATCTGATTTGAACTTAATCTAAAAGATATATCCCTTTTACTCAAACCAAATCCGACCCGACCCAACCTAACCTGAAATAATATATTTATTAAAAAATATTATTTTTTATTCAAACAGGGATTTAATTAGGGATGAGCATAAGATCCGAACCCAACGGGTTCCGACTTGACCCGACTCGATCGGGTAGGATATTTTTTAAAAAAATTCGGGTCAAGTCGGGTTTTCTAAAGTTATGTTCAGGTCAGGTTCGGGTTTAGGGTGAAAAATACCCGACCCAGAAAATTATAATTTTATATTATATATTTAGGGATAATTGCAATAATACCTCTATATATATTATTTTCTTTCAACTAAATCCCTATTTTTATTGAATAAAAATAATATTTTTTTTAATAAATATATTATTTCGGGTCGGGTTTGAATTTATCTCAAAAAATTGGATCAGGTTCGGGTCAGATTGAAGGGATATATTTTTCGGTTTGAGTTTAAGTCGGGTAGAGGATTTAAAATTTTCAGGTCAGGTCGGGTGGACAGAAAATCTGACCTGACCCATGCCCATCCCTAGATTTAATTGAAAGAAAATAATATATAAAGGGGTATTATTGTAATTATCTCTAAATATATAAGGTAAAATTATAATTTTTTTCGGGTCGAATATTTTACACCTTAAACCAGAACTTGATTTTTAAAAAAAAAATCTGATCGGAACCGACATGTTCGAGTACCATTCACATTCCTTTAGAGACACTTCCAAAATAACATCAGTTGATCAGTATGGCAACTAATATTCTGCAGCCAACACCACACATCCTGATAATAATTGAAGTACGCCAAGAGGGAAGTGAAAGAAAGCAAAAGTTTGCATAATACCATTTGATGTTAATTCTTTATTCAACTGCCTGAAACAACTTTACAAAACCGAAGGTAGAAGACAAAGACAGAAAACTAATGACTACAGTTAAACTCACAAGGCAAATATTTCATATGATGCAAATCAGCTCCATAAACTTGTGAGAACTTGTTCGAATTACGGATACGCTTCATTGGAATCACATCAAATGAGATATCCAACTTCGCATGAAGTAAAATAATAATAATAATAAAGGTGAAAAAGATGTTTGTGTCGCATACACAAAACAAAGGCCGCCCAGAATGCTTATTCCTAACTCGCCTGGGAAGAAGAGGCTGTTGCTGTGATAACATCTTCAAGTTTAACCCTTGCACCTTTAGAGCCATCAGACGCGGAATTAGTTCTCTCAATACCAGTGCCTTCTTTATTACCATCATCTAAGCAGACAAATTGAGCAAAGCTCTTGGACATCTGTTTTATGAAACCATTGAATAATGTAACAGCATTTCTATGCTCACTTTCTCCTACAACCCCTACAGACATGAGGGTAGCTTGTTGTCTAGCCTTACGCTCTTGCATGGCCTTTTGCCTGTCCTCATAGAAGTCAAAATCATCCAGGATTGACATATCGGTTTCATAACTTTTAAAGATGCTCAACATTTCAAGTACTTGCTCCAGTTTCACCTGCAAAATTTGATTTCCACACAAGTAAAAGATTTGCTGTAACGGGAATATCTTTTAAATCCTCAAAACCAAGTACAAAGAAGCGTCAAGAAATCAGAAATTGCATAAAATATATTTAATCTAATTAGGATTTGTAGCACGGTAATATCACGGTTAAACGATAGGATAATATCCTCATTTGCATCTGAGGAAAGGAGACGGGCTTGGGTGAGCATATCATGTAAATCAATGGTTCTCGATTCAGAACACAGCAGTCAATGACTACCAGTATTGTAGGTGAAAAGAACCTTTGGTACAGAATTATCAAATGAATGAACTCTGTCTTTTATAATAGTCATTTGAAACTTTACCTCCCGAGTATCTCTACTGTTAGTCACAGGCTTGTTATCATTATTTTCAAGTATGATGTGGCGGAAATGACTGTTAGGAACATCTTTGATAATATGTCATTTGACAGGGAATTGCCCACTCCATTTATCCTGCTGCCAGTAATCCACTCTCTTGCCAAAATCAACAGGTCCAACCATTTCTGCAACCCCACAGAACTGAGAGCTAGCATTCACCTGCAACAATGGAGTAACTTATCTTCAACCAATATGGACGAAACAAAGTAAATAGTAGCTACAGTTTTTTCTCTTAAATGTAGATACCGAAAAGAAGAAAACACTGGGCAATTGTCTTGGTGCTCCATGGCCTCATCATAAGCGGCGTCTAACCTTTTGTTCCCGTTAGGTGTACTAGCCCAGACGCCATATTTGATACTCTTGTGAACATTATCTTCACTGTATGACTTGATTATGAAAAACTTAGCATCCTTGTAATCTGTAGTGAAATCTGACCAGTTAAATGTATTATCATTGATCTTCGTTGAAGGTTTGTTTTTATTATCATCAACGGAAGAATTATTCTCGGCTGTGATTTGATTCTTAGGTTTTGAGGCCCTTGGCCCTCGGTTTTTCACCAAGGATATCAAGAGCACCATTACAACCACATAGAGAGATGTCACTGTCTCTTCCACGTTGTCTTTTACTATCAAAAGGTAGCCAGCCCCAACTGTTTTCTCCTGAACTAGGAACTGACGCATTTATAAACCCAGCACCTTGATTGAGACCACTTTGCGGGTAGCCTCTGGTATAGGAGTTCATTCCAGATCCTAACGGATAAAATGACCTTTGCTGCTGAGGTGCCTGAAAAGGATTAAAAGACTCGACTAAATGGTATAATAATTTAAGACTATCAAAACACTAGCTTTGCTACATGTACAATCATTAAATGACGTGGATCATCTTCACAAATATTAGTCATTTAAAAACTTCTAGAACTTAAAATCCCACAATTCGAGCTAAACAAAAACTGTCTAATTCGAGCAATAAACCAAGGACCATGGTTGAATGTCTAATTTCTTCCAAAACTGTGCCATGTGCTACAAAAATTTTCTAAGTATGACAGGACTTGATGGTAAAGACAGAATCAGAGATACTATAAACTGAGAATAGAAAGAAAATTTTGCAGGTTTTGGAGATGAAAATGTACCAAAAAAAAATTCAAGGCCCACCAAGCAAAATGATAACCGAGTGCTCCACATCTTCTGCGATGTACATTATTAATACTAGAAGTAAAACAATATAGAATATGTAGTTAATAAATAGCAGAAGGATATAAATTATTTCTCATTTGATATACTTTTTAGTAAAAAAAATGTACATTTGACACTGTTTTAAAAGGCAGATATACCATATATATACAACTTGCAAAAAATGAGAATGAATATTTGATTCTTATATATTCCACTATGTATAAACTTCATATTCGCCATATGCTATTTTGGGTAAGCTGAAGAAGGTAAGCAATTCAATAAGGTGCTTCTCTCTGCCAATTTTGAGAGCAAATGAAAAAGGCTTATTCTTAAGACCACGCTAGCTTGCCAAAGAAGCAGGTAATAAGGTAAAACCATAAACAAGAATAATGAATAACATAAAATAAGATCTCCGGAAGTATTAACAAATATGCATACCATTGGAACATTCTGCCCAATTGGCCCAATAGGATGGGGAGATAATGCTGGTGATATGCGAGTGAAAGGTCTTTGTCTATCAGAAGGTTTTGACCAATCTGACCAAAGTCCTCCAGACCTGAATCCATCAAAACCTTGCTGTAAATCATTAAAGCCTAGGGTACCGGGATTTCCAGGTAAACTGCCTCTACCAAAAGATCCCAATGGACTGGGATAACTTGGCCTTGGTCCAAAGAGCATGCTATCACCTTGTTGGTCAACATTAACTAATGTGGTTAGCTCAGGTCCTGAAAGTGGAGAAGGTGAATTAATATAAGGCATATTCGGAGGAACAAGATGCTGATAGTATGGTGGTCCAGAGAATGGAAATTGTTGCGGGGAGTACAACTGGGCATCACCGCCTACAGAAGGCAAAGGAGTTGTGACTGGGAATATGGCCCATACGGCATTTGTGGATTGTATCCATATCCTGGGTGGAAGACAACTGATGGATTCTCATTGAAGAATCCCTAATTAAAGATAAAATGTCACCCAAAGGACAAAAAACTTAATCAATCAAAGAAAATCTACACAGATGAATGGGATGGAGAGATTCTCACCATGGGTCCAAGTTCTAATCCTTCAGCGTTGACACTCGGCGGATATTCATCCCATTCACCAGCAGTGTTGTCATAACCTGCTCTCAATTATAGAAACAACCCCAATATTAATTTCTATTTCACATATAACTCATCTCAAACCAGGAAATGCAAGATATCAAAAGGTTTCTACACAAGTGAATGGTTCTTTTCCTAGCACAGTGAAATCACTCAAAAGTAACAACGTAACATGCACTACTATCTAGACCATTCAGTAAGAATTCATATAAATAGGGAATACAGAATCAAAATAAATAAAAGAACTAAGCATTTCATGTTTTCAACCGTGATGAGTATTGCCATTCAAATTAAAAAACCTATACCTTACTAACATTAAAACCAAAGGACAGGAAATATAAACCAAAATCCAGGTTTCTCTTTTACATAGAAAACCAACTTAAGAGCCAAAATTTAATTCCTTTTTAGCAATAAACTAAAAATAAGAAAAACACAAAGACTTTATATTTTGGTGCAACGGAAACTCACTGATTTCTTTTTTTATCACGACTCGCATGGTATAAGCTTTTTCATACGATCTCCTAGCTCAATTAGCATTGACATGGATCAGAGAGTGATATCCAAGAACTACTACAATAACAGCACCTGAGCATAAAAAAGAAACGAACTGCTGTGATACTAACCATATATGCAATCAGTGATTAGGTTTCAACTGGAATTTACTAGTACAAAGTCAAGCCAGACTGGTCCAGCATTAAAATAGCCCAAGAAAACAGAAAATTAACCTCTATAATAGAAAGCCTGAGGCTGAGGGGCATAGATTGTAGGTGAATAGACATTACGTTCTCCAGCTGAAACGAATGACCCAGACTGACCAGCACCATTACTGGGATGGCCCATTAGGGCAGCATCCTGAGTGGAATTAAGAGAACCAACGTCTTATTTTTTGTTGAAAGAGGCTGTTAAGAAAATAATAAATGAAGGTTGATAGTAAGAATATTTCCTTTTAACTGTCCAGCGGAAACAAATGAAGAGAAAAAGAAGAGCATGTCAGTAACTCACTACTACCTGCTCCTCCACTTTGTCTGGATCAGCTTGTTGCTCTTCTGCATCTATGATCAGTATGCTCAGTGACTAAGTAGAGTCTTAGAAACACAAGCAATACAAATTATTGACCAACCAAAGCAAAATTCAAGGATGGGTAAACTTGAAGGTATGAATATGTGTGCGCAATCCACAAATGCATACTATTAACATTATAAATAAAGAACATTAATAATTCCATACATGTCATATTAGATAAAATTACTCAAAGATCCGATATCCTCAACACGAAAGTGCAATGTCATCATGAGATTTGACATCGAAAAAATTACTCATAGATCCGATCTCCTCATCACGTAGAGCTATGTCGTTTTCAAAATCAAGTGATCTCTAGACAATCGATCTTCTTCAACGCGAAGTAACAATGTTGTCCACATTACCAAAGTATGACTAAACGTCCTCAACATGAAGGAATCATATCGTTTATTTACTAGATCTCTCAACACGAAGAACAATGTCATCGTTAGATTTGACCTCGAGCAAATTACCCAAAGCAACCAGATTTCCTCATCATGTAAGAGACATGTCGTTTCAGAAATCAAATCATCTAAAGAAACTAGATTTCCTCAACACGAAAGAACTATGTTGTCTTTAGAAACACATTCGTTTCAAGTGTGACCAAGTGTCCTCATCATGAAGGAACAAAAGCACGAAGTCTTCAAATTGAAGCATCAAATCATTGAAATGTGATCTGACATCCTCAACCAGAAAAAAAAGTCATTTTCATATTTATTACCTTGGAATGGTGGTCTCTAGATTCAAAGTGAACATCGAGGCCAGACAAAATAATGTCTTTGGTCTTTGCCCAATTTTCGTCACCCGACAATGGGTAAAGAAGGACAGTTGTAGACATTACATTTTGTCTGCGTTTCTTATTTATCTACATGGTTTATTTAATAATATTATCTAGTTTATTAAACTATATATGTTTTAATTGTAATTGATAATATTGGTAATTGTTAATGTAATTATGTTTTAGGTTAGTGTTAGTATATTAATAGGTTAATGTTAGTGTATTAATTACATGATAGATAATCATATATATATATATATTGATTTTATTTTATTTTATTTTGTATATAGGTTACAATGGATAGACCAACTAATTACAAGACCCTAACGGACCAGTAACCCAAATAATAGGCCCTACTTGACAACCCAACACATCTAGGGTTTTGTATAATAAGAGATCTACGCATTTTTGTTGGATTTTAGGAAAAATGGGTCTTGGTTTCAGTTTAAGGAAGAGGAGATGAGCATTTTGAGAGTGTTCGATTTCCTTTTGGCCACTGTGTACGACAGTGGAGGCGACTGTCTCCTCTGACGAAGGGAACTTGAGAGAATTCATAAATTCTCTCTCTCTCTTTGAAACAAATGGAAAATGAGAAAGACTTAGAAAAATAAGCCTTAGTTCAGGGTTATATATCAAGCCCAAAACGACGTAGTTTCACACTCCTCTTACACGTGTTTTATGAACTTGTAGGGTAAATTGCAGTTTTAGTCATTTATACCTTGTATCATTCCGTTTTAGTCATAAATGAAGGGGGATATTGCTGATTTCAAATCTTCAATGATTTCATTTTTATATTTTAGTCATCATGCATCATTTAAATATTATGGTCAAATGCTTGATTTGGGTTTGATAATTTAATATTTGTTCCATTTTAGTCCATTTGTTCGTATTACATTAGAAATTTCTATATCTATGCTATTGGTCCTTATAGTTTGTTTCTTATTCATTTCAATCACCATTCATGTTTAATTATTTAATGGAATATTAAGGCTAAATATACCAATATCACCTTGCAACTTTTTATTGTGTCAATTTAGTACTTATATTATATTTGTATATATGAATATGTTAGTTTCACATATTTTATATTTTATTGTTTGAATATATTTGTTGTATGTTATTAAATAGGAATGCTTAATATTTCCTTATGAGATACTATATATATATATATGTGAATGAATATGTTCTTGATCTTTGCTGTGTATTTCTTATTTTAAATTATTTTGACTTCCTATAAATGTGTTTTCCTATTTGAATGCCTAGATTTTAGGTCAAATATTTATGTATATATATACACACTTTTCCTTTCACACTTAGTTTCATGTAGTCATATCTTAGGTCTATTTGTTTATTTTTTGTATAATATGGTAATATATTATTATTACTTTAGCGATGATTATTTATTTTTTAAATATAGAGTATGAAATATGTAATATTTATATATGTATCTTTGAGAAAGTTTTTGTATGCGTTTATATATTGATAAAAAGGATATTTATCAGTATTGTATTGGGATTTTTTTAAAATTTGTTATTGTTAATATTATAAAACGATAATTTTTTTGTTAATTATTTGATTAACTTATGGAAGACCTCCAAACACTGGGGTGCTTTTCTGAGGGTTATTCGAATAAAATAATTTTAACATTATTATTTGTTGATTATTAAGTTAATTAAATATATATTTTTATTCATTTTAAATAATTATATATATATATATATATTATTTTTAAAAATATTTTTTTATATATTATGTTTTACATAATTATTTTAATAAATATAAATGTTCATTTTTATTTATTTCATGTATTTATGTATTTACTTTTGTTTAGTTTTTTTTTTGTTTATTTACCCCTGTTTAGTTCTATTATATTTTATTAATATTGAATTCATCTTTTATATGTTATTTATTACTACTGCATTTATATGTCATACATTTACTTTCTCGTTTTTGAAATTTTAAAGGCAACATTGTCTTGCGTTGTGGGTTAACAAAATTACGTCAAACATAACTGAATTTTAATTTCTATTAATTCATGTAGTAAGGGAACACCCTTTCTAAATAAAACCGAGTGAACTAAATCACCTTTATTGAGTTAAGTATTTTATAAATAATTTCACTCTTTTCAAAATTCATAAGAAGTTAAAGAGGATCGTAACTTAAATTTTAAATTCAAATATGTAAACTTTCATCGTTTTAGACGACATATAATTAAGGGTATTAATTTTGGGCGCTGTGGGGATGCTCACTCTTCTCCACACGTAATCGACTCCCAGAACCATAAAAAATAAATTTTTGGTAACACCCAGATCATTTTTTGGCTTTAAAATGATTTTTCCTTAAAATTGTTTTAAAAGACATTTTTAGATATTCAACCTACCTAACTCAAAGGTCGATGACAACTCCAAATTTTAAATTAAATCAAAATTCAAATTTCTCAATATAAAGTCATAATTATTTTAAATTTTAAAATAAAAAGTTAGTTATACAAAATAATAATAAGAGACTTTAAAATTAGATTAGGTTAAATCAATAGTTTCTCATAAAACTTTTGAAGTGATTAAAATAACCGCTAAAAAAATAAAATAGGAGTATAAAAGAAAAATATTAAAAATTTAACCAACAATTTGAGAAAGGATAACAGATACGAACAATCAAAGATAAACATCGACAATACTAATAAAAATGCATATAACAATAATAATACTTCTTTTTTAAATTAATCATTGGTATTCAATCTATTGATTGATTAATCCAGATCGAGTTTATAATGTTAATACTTTGATAAATTAACTTTATTACAATCCAATCACAGTATATCTTTAATGATTATAAGCATCTAGAATCAATACGTGGGTCCAAAATGACACCACATAAAAACACTAAAAAGTTACTAAACTCAAAAGATTTACCGTCACATTTTTATTGTATAAAAACAATAATCTCATATATTCACAGCACGTAATACAACTTGCATATTCTTAACAAGAACAAGTCACTCCTTCTGACACACTATACACGACAAGCAAACAAATACGAGCGCATGATGTTATACTTATTCAAATATATAAGTAGCTCCATTAGATTGATTTATCTTCTTCTTTACTTACCCAACATGAAACCTAGAGATCAAGGTAATCAGACGTCAAGGGCCTGAAAACATGTGCAGCCTCTTTTTCTATCTGTTCCAACTGCCCTTTCAATAGTAGCATGTAGACAACCCAATCACCATCTCTCGCTGTACTAGGCATCGGCATAACGTACCCACAAAGACCACCCCATGGGAAATGGTATGACCCAAAAGCAGGGCAACCCCATCCAAAATCCACATTTGAAACCGGGAACCGCAGCCCCGACGAAACGACCAACGCCGGTCCATCATCCTTCACAACATTGTACACCCTTGTCATCGCGGGCTCGGGGCGGTGAGCTTCGACCCAATCAATCGCTCCTAGGAAATGTTCCTTTGTCGTCGCGGGTTTTAGAAACTCGTGGATTTGTTTTGCCACCGAACATAAAGGCTTTTCGGTTAGCTCACCGATTGTTTCGGATCCGTACGGAATGGATAGCACATTTCCAAAGTGAGATCTCATGACAGTGGCCCTGACCGGATCTCCTTCGCCAAGCCTTGCTCTCCCATCCACAACAATCCCCAATTTCGATATCTTTCTTCTATCTTTATCGACAGTGTAAGTTGCCACCATCTTCCACAAATACGCGCTAAACGACTCGAGCTTGGTCCTTTTCTCGCCGTCGGAGGAGGCGAGTGACTGAAGCTCATTGAGTTGGTCGGCATTAACGTAATACATCCGACTTATGAGATGATCAGTTGGTTCATAGTTTTCTTCGGGAGGTGGCAAAGACGATATCGACACGTAACAGTCGTCCAGGGAAGGGTCGATGCACCCTGGTCGTCTCGGATTCAACAGTGATCGACGAAAACTCGGGACCACTGAAACCGGTTTCGACTGAGCTAGTTCGGCCCATGACACAAGGAACATGTTGGCTGTGTATGCATCAGATACTCGATGATCGAACGAGCATCCCACCACTATACCACCACATTTAAGTTCAGTTGCCTGTAAACATCAAAAGTAGACCAATTTTAGCCATTCTATATGTAACTCTGAATTAATAATTTGAATTAATTCAATCAACTTGGATTAATTTAAATTTGAAATTGTCCAAACTTACATAATAATCAACTTTTAAAAATATTATTCCTTTCCACCTACCCCAGGTAATGGATAAACATAAATTAGCAAGTGAGTAAACTATACATCAGTCAAGTAAATTGGTGTTTCCTCTTAATCACGGAAGTCGGAAATTGATTATATTACTATAAATTCACCTGTCACAAGCAAAGCTTTTCCACATATCCGTTGGGACTTTAAAGATTGAAAATGATAATAATGGTATAATTTACAATATATGGATGACCGTGAGATGTGCATGCCTAAAGGTAATTGGTCCACGTAGGGGAATAAGTCAAACAATCTAAGGCTAGGCTATTGCTACTTGCCACCTAATCTTTGATATTTGTTTTTTCTTATGTGACGTAACTGCCAATATTTTTAATAAAATATTCTGCTATTTTTAGTAATCTATACTACTCGTAGGTGATACTGATTACCTACTACTTTAGTGGCACTCTATCTTTAACCAACGACCTTATTTGAATTTTAGGTAATAACACTATAAGACCAAATAAATAAATGGTACAGAGGGTAAATTATAATTGTATGTGTTCTCTGACAACAAGCATGCATGGTTTCTTCCCTAACACTAAAATAGATTGTCGAATGTATGCATGTATATTAATTAATATTTAATTACAAGTCAATCATTGTGACAAAGGAAGGAAATAATTTGGATTTAAGAACAAACAATTTACATTAAAGCTAGGGATTAGGCACATAAACGAACCTAACGTTCAACGAACTGGTCGGCGGAAAGTTAAAATCTGAAAAATATACATTCTTTATCCAATTTAAACCTGACTCGAAAAATATACACTTTTCATCCGATCCGACCCGACCATAAATATTATTATATTTATTAAAAAATATTACTTTTATTTAATAAATATACAGATTTTATTAAAAATAATAATATATAAAGGGATATTATTACAGTTATATCTAAATATATAAGTTATAATTATAATTTTTCGGGTTGGAATGGATTGAATATTTACCCTAAATCCGAACCCGACTCGAATCTATTTTTTTTAAAAAAAAATCGACTCGATCGGATCGGGTCGAAACACGCCGGTTCGAATCCATACCCATACCCTAAATTTTTGTTACTTATATCTTAAATTAAACTTAACTCGAATAATTTATATAATATTAATATAACGTATGATATGAATCTAATTGAACTTGATTCATAATCGTATCTAAACATAACAAATAATTAAAATATTCTCAGAAAAATAAGTAGAATATAAATAGCCAAACTTATCATTTTAAAAAAGAGTTATTAATGTGGTAGACGGAGTTAGGATTTTAATTTAAGGGGGTAAAATATAATTTTTTAAAAATTAAAGGGACAATTTCATAATTATCTCATAAATATTTAAATTATATATATAAATTAAATGTAAAAAAAAAATTTGTTGGGAGGGGTGCCACAACCCCTTCGAGAACCTTAATAGTTCCGTCACTGATGGTAAAAATATATAAAGACATAATATATTAAATTTGATTATCAATTATAGATTGATATATATATATATATAATTAACAACAAAAGGATTATCATCAATAGTCTCAACTTTTTTCACAATTACTCTTAAATTTAATTGTTATGAATATTTGATGTATAATAATACATAAGTTTTTATATATATATAATCTATAAATTTTCATAAATTTATATTGTACATTTAAATTTGAATTTTTTTACACAGAGAGAAATATTCAGACAACCAATTTTCCACAACATAGAAACACCCAACTGGATATGTTTTCTATTAACTTAGTTGTTTTTGTTTATTTTTTAACATTTATTTGGGTGACGGATAATCTTCGTATTCTATTAGTAACACATTGCTTATATTTTTAGATATTTTGATTAATAAAGCAACGATTTGTCCACTGCAACTAACATGCGAAAGTACCTGAACGGCCATCACGCCATGTTTCTTCTTAGGTACGAGTTTACCTTCAACGCTCTCATCAGGGTTATGGAAGTTAAGGTTTCGAAGCTCAATATCTGCATAAGCCTCCACGAAATCCACCCCTCGATTGTTACACAGAAGCTCGGGCTCCCCCAGCGCGTTGGGGACAACCTCGGCGGCCAAAGCATAGTAAGGGAGAAGAGCTTCGGCCAAGGCCTTCTTCAGAACACTAACCATGCCGCTGCTGGCGGACACTGGTTTATTGTAGCAGAAGATAACGCCGAAATCGAGCGGCGGCAGAAGCAAGTCTAGGTTGGTGAACGGCAGCCAGTGCTCTTGGAACGGCACCAGTGGCGCCACCACGTCGGTTTTGCTCACCGTCACCGTGAATTCTCCTTTTTCCGATCCCATTTTCTATGATTGTAATATGGGGGTGGGGTAGAGATGGCGTCTGGGGCTATTGGTGCATATTAAAGACTACTAAGAGAAGGGATTTATAGAAAACAGTGGGGAAGCAAACAGTAGGCGTCTCAAGTATTACAATTTGTTCTGTTAGAATGTTACATCCTTCCCTTAGTATAAACTATTCAACAGACTTGCGTATCTTCACCAGCTTATTCCTTTTTTAAAATTTATTCCACTCAACTATTTTTCTTTTTATTTTTTCTATCAATAGAAATCATTTATTTTATATTCGGTAGGCTCAGAAATCTAAAACATAAATTAAACTTATTTTTTTAATTAATCACTGATGTCCGATCTATTTGACCGACCAATCCAGATCGAGTACTGCAAATACGAGGGCGATCCTCCCAACCCAGTTTGCTCCATTCTTAAACGCCAAGATTCGAACCTCTGACCTTGATTAAGAGACTTAGTGTCTCATCCCACTAAACCAACGGATTGTAGGTTCAAAAATCTAAAACAGAAATTAGACTTATTATTAATAATAATATTCTCATGATTTAGTCCACTTAAATTAATTATGGGGTATCATTCAACAGCATAAAAGATAAAACCTCCCTCAGTCCATGTGAAGATTAGGGTTTCCACTACCCGGAACGCAGCCTGATTATTTGAACTAATACCATACCAAAAGTTTCACTTGGACGATGAAATGCCTTACTTTCTTAACATAGACAAGCCCGTGAAAACCGTTTCCACCAGTTTTCTTCAATTATAGTAATACCGACGTTTCAACTTTTGGCGGAAGTATGTATTAATTTTGGGGTATCATGAACTTTTCAAAAGTGACCACAACAAAAGTACGTTGCTTTCTTTGTTCAAACGTCAGTGAAGGCCATTACGCTTCATCTTCTTCATCTATTACTGCAATAAATACAAGGGTTGAGAAAAATAATATTTCAAAAATAAAAAATCGATTTCAACCGTAACATTTTGACAACTTTTACTTTTTATTCATTTTTTATAATTTTGAGATTAATACATAATAATATTTGTTCAAATATTCTCAACTCGTTAACAATAAATGCTCATACTCTTACGCATGTGATGCTCGGACTTGAGACTTTAAGAAATAACAGTAGATTCTTTAATCATCGAGATCGTTTGGTTTATACAATCTTATTTTTATTTTATATTAAAGATGATGAAAATAACTTTAATATTATATAAAAACATTACCAAAACTTAAAAATTCAGTTTAAAGTTCAAAACTTTAAAATTAATATAAAAAATTATTAGAATGGTTTAAAAAATTTAGAAAACTCATATCGAGTTACAAATTAAACCTTAAATTTTAAAAATAAAAAATTATATAAATTTCAAGTCGTAACGTTGTCGTTTATTGATGATTAATTTGCAGTGAAAATATGGAGAGAGATTAATTTTATATGATTAAAAGACTGTTTGCTGATGAAATTTCCGGGGTTATAGTAAACGAAAGTGATTAGGGAATTAAATAATAATTAATTACCCTGTCAAACCTAAACTCGTATTTATTATTGTTTTATTGGACTTTTCCCCCCTCAGCTGCGATTTTCAACCAAGCATTAAATTTAGAAGATGTTTTGTTAATCATACTTTTTTTAATAAATTCAACTTAATTAATGTTATTAGATATGCATAATCTAAATAGTTGAGTTTTAATTGCATTAATGAAAACACGAGTCATTATCTTCAACCTAATTTCATGTATGAAGCGTGTATAAATTATCGCATCCATGAACTGTATAGTTGGTGGACGAATGCAGAGTGTTGGTAAGCTTGACAGCTAATTATGATTTTTTTAAGTACCTTGGATGCTTCTCTCATTAGTGTAGGTTTTGCTTTCTTAAGGCCAAGGTCAGTCGATGGTACCGTTTAACATCTTTTTTTATATAATTACTGGCAGTAGAAAAGAATGACCAATGAAGATAAAGAAGAAAGAGAACCGCAAAAAAATACCGAGTATGAATAGGGATGGCAAAAAAATCCGAACTCGACGGGAAAAATCGAAAATTGAATTAAACGGGTCGGATTCGGAATGATAAATGGGGACGAGGACGGGGAAAAATTGTTTATGTTAAACGGAGACGGGGACGGGTTTGGTAATCCCCGCCCCGATTACCCGTCCCGATAAATATTAAAAATAATTATTATATATATATATATATAATATTAATAAATTTAATTAAAATTAAAAATATATATAATATTTATATATTTAATTTAAATATATATACCCGGCCCGATACCCGTTTATACTAAACGGGGATATCCGTTTCCCAGCGATTTTCTCTGATTACCCGATGAGAATTCCCATTTAAATCCTCAAGATGTTTTAAACGAGGGCGAGTACGGATTTTTTAAACGGAGACGGGGATGAGAACTAATACCAGCCCGAATCCGGCCCGTTGCCATCCCTAAGTATGAAGAGACATAACTAAATCAGCAAGTATCATTGTAGTCATGATTACCCAGTAAACATATTACTCATGTAAAATTGGCCATGTCTTTAATAATTGTTGTATTTATAATTTTACTAATATTCAATTTATTGACAGATTAATTTATATTAAATATTGTAATAGCATGTTATAAAGGAGACTCTCGGAATTTTTATACAAGTAGACTACTTTGATAAAAGGTGGAGATTTGACTGATTACCTATGGAAATTATATACCTGTCATTATTTGTTATGCTGTCAATCTCAGTTGCATGGTGCATATTATATAGACAATCAAGGAATTCAATCAATCACAGTATCTTTAAAAACAATCAGCAGAGGTAACACATCCAATCAAACTCATCAACACTGCAATTTTCAGCACAAGTGTAATTCATGGTTAAAACATCCAACTCAGAACAAAAATAAAACCCAACTTTATCACATTAAGAAGTTAATAAAAGCATTAAATAGAACCAACGTTTTCAAAGCTTTAGCAATCCTCGAATAAAATAAACAAGTCCAACAAAAGCAAATTAAAATTTCCAATGTAGAATTGAGTTGATTCTAATCCAGGTAACTGATAAATGTAATAAAAGGGAAAATGGGGGGTTTGCTGAAATAAAGATTTAAGTAAAATTAACTAAGTAAAAAATTTTAAGAATGAGAGTATGAGTTGAAAATAATGATGGAGAAATAGCCCCAAGCTTCGCTTTGTCTTAATTCACTTTGATCGTTGAAATATATTTTACTTCGGGATTCATATCAGTTACAGAGTACAAGGCCTAACCCTTGCAACTTGATTTTCTCTTTGGTAATTTGATCTTCCCAAGTCAACCTTCAATTGATTGGACTAACTACGACTATCACCGTTAGCACAAAACAAATTTAAGTATTGGAAACTCCCAACTCGGATTATGTTATCTCATTGAGAATCAAATCCGATCTCAATTTCCCTTAGCGGACCACCGCTAAGTGTGTTATCAGGAAGTCAAACTTGCTACCGGCGGATTATTTCTCCCAACTTTAAATAACAAACTCTTTTTTTTAAATGAAAGTGTTTTGGTTTTTAAATGAAAGGCCGATTGTCAATCAAGTTTGCAGAAAATTGAGAATGTAATCCGAAGATATTAAGTGTTTTTCAATTCTCACATTCGAAATTGAATAATCGCTAAGCTATCGACTAAATGAGAAAATTAGCTAAGCATGATAAAAATCATACTTAACATTTTTAAGAAAATAGTAAAAATCTTAAAGTAAAAACAAAAGGAAAAAGAAAATGAAACTTTTATAAAAAAAATAAAAACAAAGTAAAACAAAAATAAAATCTAAGTGTATTTCAAGCTATACTCGAAGAGGATATTTATAGCTTTCCAAATCCCTAAAGATAGCATATGAAAATTCAAAGGTAAATTATCCTAAACATTAAAAGATAAATCTCAAGTGTTTTGAATTCAAACTTAAATCTAAGATTCCTAAAAGAATTTGTCCTCAAGTAATGTTGACTAGACTGTTTCCAGAAATTACCGATGCTGATTGGACCTTTTGGAAGCTACCACTTCAGACTGCATCATGCCCAACGTCATGCCCATGTCTCCAACCGGGATCGGATAATAAAAAAATGCAGATTGTGCCCTTCTTACCGATAGTTCTAAAAATTATATTCATGCGCAAAAATAAGTAAAACAAAACCAAATCAACAGTAATAAATTGACAACACAGAAGAATTAACACGTAAATAATATCAATTTAGAATACTCATCAAATTCCCCCTCACTTATCTCATGCTTTTCCTCAAGCATTTTTCAATCAAACAAGTTGAAAACTCCATTTGCCTTCCTCTGTTTCGTCTCATATTGAAACACATCATGCAACTCAAGTTCACAACAACCATCAAAGTCAGAACTAAAAGTGATATTACCATAGATCTGTAAGAAAATCAAATCTTCACTACTAATTAGAACAAAATGCAACAATCAAAGGGTCTTGAATAAGTTACGCAATAATCAAAGGGTCTTGAATAAGTTGTAACAAAACTTAGGTAAAGGTGGATAATAAGGTTAAAACGAGGCTAAAGGTCAAGACAAGAGATTCACAAATAATAGGATCTAAATCCACAAGATAAGCAAAGTAAATGAATGCAACAAAATAAATACACCAACCAACAAACATCAAACAAACAATCTTTTTTTCTTTTCCTTTTTTCGAACTATTATTGTTTTTGTTTTTTAACCTTTTTTCCCCTTTTTTTCAGAACTGTTTTTTTTTTGTGTGGATCATGATCGTTCATTAGTTAACTCAATCTCTTGTCCTGAAAAGGGTAGAAAAGAAAGACAAAAGTAAAAAGACTTGGGTTTAAATATATGGTGAAAACAAAGAATGGGAATAAACTCAAATTTGGTTAACTAATGGAAACGAAAGGATAGACATTTTAGCATAAAAAGTGGGTGAATCCTAAGTGGCCTAATCATTTTAGGGCATCAAACTTTTATGTAGTCTCGACATGCATTTAAGTTCAGGTTCTAGAATATCAACGCCTAGTTCAACACATTCAATCAAATAAGAATAAGAGCAAGAATATAAAGAATATGCTCGTAAAGGCTCAAATTTTATCGAAGTGTGTACATGCATTGAGTTAAACACATTTCAACTAACAAAATCATGGAATATCACAAAAAAATTTACTCAAATCACTACTCATTCCATTCGCTATTATGAATACATAAACTCAAACAATTATATGATCTCAAGCAAGCATGACATGCCAAAACATTTAATAAAGGCGAATGATTTCAACAAAAAGTTCAACCAATTCAGCCAAGACATACTAGAATTGAAGCACAAAGATAAGTAAAGTGAAATTCAATCACTCCACCCCTCATTTAAAGTGTATTGTCCCAATACGTAAAACTAAGGTACTAGATAAAGGATAGAGAAACTCCCCGTGTTTAGTGGCGACCACGACCACAGTCATGGCTAGGTTCGACCGCTTAAAAGAGAAGTTGTCGGGGTGCAGATAGATGTTGAAATTTCCTGCAAAGCCAAAGAGCAATACATCAGTAATGAGGTAATAAAATTAAAGTCATTTTTTTACCTCAAAAATGATTCGACAATGGGCATTGGATATGATGGAGCGGTGGATAACGATGTCTATGATTAAACGAGAGAAATTAATTATCAGTTTCTTGATTTCTTCGCTCGAACCATCGTGGCTTGTAGACGATCAAGATTCGCAAAGATAGGAGTCAAGATATGGTCAACGGTGATAGATCAGATGATCGGTGAGCGGTGACCTTAAGGTGCGACGACGTGGGTGAAAGAAAAAAATAAATAAAAGAGGGGAAAGAGTGAAGGAAGAAAATAAAAGGGAGGTGATAAAAAATGGGTTGAATTTATCAAATAATGCAGTTGAAAAAAAATTTGTTCGAATATGACACTCTCGAAATTATTTCGTGAAATAGAGCGAATGCTATAGTAAACCCAAAGACGCATTGGAGTCCAAGTGACTTACACACAAATTTGGGGGTGACGCATGGAGTGCAATGCGTCTCCTATATTTTTTCATCAATTTCATTCATATGTAAATGTACAAAGGGTAAATTACACAATTAATCATTCAACTTTATTCTCTCTCCAAATTAATTAAATGCAGCTGCATTGTTTTGGACAATAATTTCAATTAGAAATTATGTAAGCACGGTGTTGGTTTCTTTAGTACACAAATTCAATGCTAGAGCTGATGGATCAAATTGGCTTCCATATAACAACTTGAACAATAGTCGATGAGTAGGGATGGGCATCTAACCCGAACCTAACGGGTTTCGACCCGACCCGATCGGGTCGGGTCAGATTTTTCTAAAAAAAATTTGGGTTCGGGTCGGGTTCGGGTTTAGGGTGAAAAAAGTCCGACCCGACCCGACCCGGAAAAAATATATAATTTTACCCTATATATTTAGGAATAATTACAATAATATCCCTCCATATATTTTTTTTCAATTTAGTCACTGTTTTTATTGAATAAAAATAATTTTTTTATTATTTCAGGTCGGGTCGGGTGAAAAATTAATTTCGTCGGGTCGGGTCACGGGTGGAGGTCCCCTTCTTCTCGGGTCGGGTCGGGTGGACCAAAAACCCGACCCATGCCCATCCCTATCGATGAGTGATCAAAATAGGAGTAAAACAAAAGTTGAGTGATAAATTGAAAAAAATTAAAAGTATAGTGAGTGAATTTGGAGAGAGAGTAAAGTTGAATGATTAATTATGTAATTTACCCTTTGTACAAGTGAAAAAATATGGGAGACGCATTGCACTCCATGCGTCTCCCATATTGTTTTTCATGTACAAAGGGTAAATTACACAATTAATCATTCAACTTTACTCTCTCTCCAAATTCACTCATTGTACTTTTAATTTTTTCAATTTAATCACTCAACTTGTGTACTAAAGGGTAATTTTTTTCACTTTTTCATAAATGTACAAAGGGAATTTTTTTTGAGTCCAAGCATTGAATTTGTGTACTAAAGAAACCAACATCGTGCTTACATAATTTCTAATTGAAATTGTTGTCCAAAACAGTGTAGATGCATTTAATTTATTTATTTTTATTATACCCTAAATTAGTGGGGGTCATAACTCCCACCTAAACCCAATTTCAATTAGAAATTTGTGTACTAAAGAAACCAACATCGTGCTTACATAATTTCTAATTGAAAGTGTTGTCCAAAACAGTGTAGTCGCATTTAATTAATTTATTTTTATTATACCCTAAATTAGTGGAGGTCATAACTCCCACCTAAACCCAATTTCAATTAGAAATTATGTGAGCACGATGTTGGTTTCTTTAGTACACAAATTCAAAGCTAGAGCTGATGGATCAAATTGACTTCCATATAACAACTTGAACAATGGTCGATGAATTATCAAAATAGGAGTAAAACAATCCATGTCATTGTAGAGTGATCAAAATAGGAGTAAAATAAAAGTTGAGTGATTAAATTGAAAAAATTAAAAGAGCAATGAGTGAATTTGGAGAGAGAATAAAGTTAAATGATTAATTGTGTAATTTACCCTTTGTACATTTACATAGGTGAAAAAATATGGTAGACGCATTGCACTCCATGCGTCTCCCCCAAATTTGTGTATAAGTCGCTTGGACTCCAATTCGTCTTCGGATTTACTGTATCATTCACTCTATTTCACGAAATAATTCCAAGAGTGCCCTATTCGAATAAATTTTTTTCAACTGCTTTATTTGAGAAATTCAGCCTAAAAAAATGTGTGGAAAATGGATAAAAATTATTTTGTTTTAATTATAAGGGCACGTGGGGGTTAAAAAATAAAAAGAATGGAATTAATTTGTTTTAAAATTGAAAATTGAATGGGATAAGTGGGTTTCACAGCTATTTAATGAGTAGTTTTGTTGTACGATAACTTTAATATACAACTAAGGAAAGATTTTATCGAAAATGTTAATATTATTTTAACATTTCCGTTAAAGCGCTACCTAAAAATTATTTTTTTACCGGAAATGTTAATTTCGTTACCTAATTTTCGGTAAAAAAAAAAATTTAGGTAACACCTAATATTAACATTTCCGGCAGAAAAATAATAATATTTCAGATAGCACTTTCCTGGAAATGTTAAACATTTTATGTAGAACCCAATATTAACATTTTCGGTAGAAAAAAATAATGTTTTAGATAACGCTTAACCGAAAATATTAAAAAATTATTAACATTTACTATAACACATTTTGTTAGGCATCCCCTATTTAATAGGTGAAATAAAAGGTGGAAATATATGGTAAATGATAAGAAAATAGGGCCCAAAGATAAGATTTAAAAGTTGGGGTTGAATTAAAATTAAACAAAGGCTTGGAATGGTTTAGAAATGAGCGGTAGAACGGACTTTTGAATGAATTGTAAGTTTGGGGTTTGCTAAAATGCACAAGGAAGAGAAGACTATGCTATCGTCTGCAACTGATGTTCGACCAAAATAACCGCAATCAACTTCATTTAAGTTAGACCAAAAAATTCGGGATACCTGAAAATTCAAAGAAAAAATAAAATAAATACAAAAAAATCAAGAAAAATAAAAATAAAAATGGGTTGCCTCCCATTAGAGCAATTTGTTTAATGTCATTTAACTCGAAGACCTAATTCAGACAACATGTTCACCGAGAGACATTTCCACCTCATTAGCTTTTTCCATCTAAGAAATTTGAGAAATTCTACGATAATATAATTTTTCTTATTTTCCTTATAAATATTCTCATAGGATTTTCTTCAGATCTCTCAGTTTTGAAATCTTGTCGAAAATCAACGTCGGCAACACATCGTCTTCACCAAAATATTAGTTCTTTAAACGTTTCGACAATGGTTTCACATCTATTTTTGGTTCCTACAAAATGGAAGGTAAAAATTTAGTTTTTGAAGGAGTTAAGTGCAAATTTGAATCAACAAATGAAATATTTTTCAACTCCCTGGATTTATTGTCTTTACCCTCAAATTTCCTACAAAAATCATCGGATAAGTTAGTTTCATTTACTAAAAAATAAAAAATATCAATGAAACTAGTATTTGTAATGTTATCCAGATATTTCATCGCTTTATATACATCAAATTTAACGATCTCACCATCGAACTCCATGGTAAGAATACCACTCCATACGTCAATTTTTGTATGCACCATACTCAAAAAGGGATGATTGAGGAGAATTTCGGAGGCATTACTTGTATGGTCACTTTCCATATCAATAACATATAAATCAGTTGGAAAAATTAAATCGTTTACCTTTACCAGAACGTTTTCTATGAGTTCTCCAAGGCATATAATCGATATGTTGGTGAGTTGAATTGTAACTCTCGTTTCCTTTAAAAGCTCAGTGGTAATCAAATTGTAGTTAGAGAGAAGAATTACATTGATAGAGGCGCTAAGAGCATACATAGCTCGCTTGATCCCAACCTTACTGATCTTACAAGGTATTGCAAACATAGCTTGGTCCTTTAACTTTAGAGACGGAGGAGACATTCTCTCCTAAGTTCACCTTCTATTTTTGGTAAGTCACATTTAATTTGTGCAGAGATTTTTAAGGAATTTGACCTATCTCGATACTTTCTGGATTACCTCAAGATGTAGAATATTTATTTCTAGTTTTTGAAACATATCAAGGATTTTCTTCTCTTCAGCTTGCTTGTCACGTTTCACCAGCCTTGAAGGAAAATGAGGTGGTACGACGTAAGAGGAGTGAGGAGGAGATATCGGGGAAGTACTTTGAGTGGGAAGAGATGGCATTTCATCTTTCTTTTTCTCCCTCGATTGCGTGACACTTCTATCTAGGATCTGAGGTGTAATAACGGTACTACTCTGAAGGGTTATGGCATTGACGTTTTCCCTCAGGTTAGTCTCGATTTGTGACGACAATTTACCTTGAGACTTTAGGTGTCCCACGTTTTATCCAATTGACTCATTTGCTTATCCAATTCTTGTAGATGAGCCTCAATTCGATTCTATAATTTTTCTTGAGATAAGGCTACCACTCAATAATGGATTATAATGAAGACTTTTATGGTTGAGGCGGAGAGGGCATCGGTTAATAGCCTTGATTTGTCCTCTGGTTGTGTATGTATGATAAGATGCATATTAGACATATATTCTATGATATTTTCCTCATATTTGAATAACTAATATTGCTTAAATCATGGGTTTTGATTATATTTCGTATTTTGTGGATTAGGTTGAAGATTTGGATAAATCAAGTTCAAAATCTAATGATTAGTATGATCTTCACAAAATCCCCAAATTAAGGAGGAAAAATCAGAATTCAAGAAGTTGGCAAGACTAGAAGAGGTTTTCGCATAAGGCGTGGACACGGCTTATTCATCCTGAACTACCGCAGAAGAAGTCTTCAGTTAAGGCGTGGGCGCGCCTTACTAGTCCGTGTAACCCTAAATTAGGGCTACAAATTTACAAAGGAAAAAGAGTTTAATGACGGCTGGAAGACTCTTTTGATTTATTCTTATCTTTAGAAAAAGATGAGGGCATTTAAAACTCCTATTTTTGTGGGATTTTCTTTAAGGGAAACTTCCTTATCTATAATAGGAAAATCCTTATAAAAGGGGAACTAGGGCTTTCATTAGTGGATCATCAAGTTTTACATCAGTTTTCATCTTTATTTTCTTTTAGTTTTCTTTCAATTATGAGTAGCTAAATACTTTTGTTCCAACTGAAGGACAATTGAAGTTTTGGTTCTTCAAGGATTGTGAGATCTAAATAAGTTTCATTGTTCTTTTACTTCTTTGCTATTTATATATATTATGTTTTTATTAAGAATTATTTTCTTGATTGATTGTGCAAAGGATCCGTTGTTCAATTTTCAGGTTGATAAATTGCCATTTAGAACTTTAAATCCGTAATTGTTTAAATGTTCTAATATTAGTGGTAAAGTAACATGGTTGATTATGATTATGTTATGAAGGTATATAACCTAGTCTAAATGAATCGAGCTTGAGTATTTGTTGGCTAGAATTGGTGGTCCCTCTAGTGATTAATGATGTTGGTGGATTAAATCTTAAGAGCTTGTTTAGGGTTGTTCATTAACTAGGGAAATAATCAAAGAGCTTCTCTTAATTATCGAGAAACTAAGGAGAGACAGGTTGTTAGAGCTTCTCAATAACCATAACCAATTTAGTGAAAAGTAGAAGATTTTATCATTGCATCTATGATCAATTCTCTGAATCAATTCTGAAATTATACATTTAGTTAGATATTTCCTTAATATTAATTTCTCTAAATTCTTAGTTTATTATAATTGCTTTTTGACTTTATTTTTCTCAATTTCAAAAACCCCTTTTTCCTTGCTTTAATTTTCATTAAAATAAGTCTACTCAATCCCTGTGGATTCAACCTTGCTTATCACTACTATAATTTATATTTCTAAAAAGCAAGTATTATTATTTGTTGGATTCGACACCCACAAAATTTTTGGCGCCGTTGCCGGGGATTGGTGTCATTTAGATTTATTTTGATGCCCCGTTCTTCTCGTGCAGGTGAACTCCAATACGATCCTGAAATCGAGAAGACCGCTCGCAGGTTAAGAAAAGAAACTAACTTGCGCAACAAACAAGCTTCTTATTCTTCATCCCCTGAATCGGAATCTGCAATCAACTTGGTTGATTCTTCCAGCGATTCTGAAGTAGAAGGAACAATGGCCAACGAAGAAAGAACTCTAAGAGAATTGGCTGCACCAAATGAGAATCAACAACCGCTCTGCATTAACTACCCAACTTTAGAGGTAGCTTTTGAACTAAAATCTGGTTTGATTCATTTGTTGCCTACTTTCCATGGACTTGAGAATGAAGATCCTCATAAGCATTTGAAGGAATTCCATATGGTATGTTCAAGTATGAGACCGCAAGGAGTGACTGAAGAGCAGATAAAACTGCGCGCTTTTCCATTATCGCTAACCGATAGAGCTAAAGATTGGCTCTTCTATTTACCCCTTGGTTCTGTAACTACTTGGTCCGATATGGTGAGGTTATTTCTTGATAAATATTTCCCCACTTCAAGAGCCGCTGGTATTCGAAGGGAGATATGTGGAACAAAACAAAAAGATACTGAGACCCTTCATGAGTATTGGGAACAATTCAAACGACTGTGTGCAAGCTGCCCTCAACATGGGATTTCTGAGCAACTTCTTATCTAATATTTATATGAGGGACTTCTACCCATAGAGAGGAAGATGATGGATGCAGCTAGTGGAGGCGCCATAGTGAATAAGACTCCTCGTGAAGCTAGGGAATTGATCTCCATCATGGCCGCCAATTCACAACAATTTGGCTTTAGGCAAGACACATCTTCAAGAAGGGTGAACGAGGTAGGTTCGTCCTCCATTGAACATCAATTATCGCATCTTACCTCCCTTGTTCAATAACTAGTTATAAGAAAAACACAGCAAGTGAAAGCTTGTGGGATATATGATGTGATCGGTCACCCAACTGACATGTGTTCTACACTTCAAGATGATTCTCATGAGTACGCTAATGCAATTGGAAGGTTTCTCGATCCCCCCCAAAGGAAATATGATCCTTACTTAAATACCTATAATCCAGGATGGAGGGATCATCCTAACCTTAGCTATGGACCAAGATCATCACAATTCCAGCGTTCTCCACATGAGCAGTCTTCTTCAAAGCCGGGTATGTCCCTAGAAGAAATTGTCAAATCACTTGAAACCAATACACAACAATTTCAGCAAGAGACAAGAACAAGCATACAAAATTTGGAGAATCAAATGAGTCAATTGGCATCATCCGTGAATCGGTTAGAATCCCAAGGTAAGTTACCTTCACAAACCATTGTTAATCCAAAACAAAACGTTAGTGCAATCACATTAAGAAGTGGAAAGGAGTTGAAGGAACCTAGTCCATTGGCACATGGGAGAGCATTAGATAAAAAAGCTGAAAAGGAAGTTGTTGCTCCTCAAACTCAGAAAGACCAACCTAAAGGACTCAAAAGCGAAAAACCGAAGGAATTTGTCATAGAATCTCCTTTTCCCTCTAGATTCGCTAAATCCAAGAAAAAAGCAGAAGAGAAAGAAATTCTTAAGACATTTCGCAAGATCGAGGTAAATATTCCTTTACTTGATGTAATTAAAAAAGTACCTCGATATGCTAAAGTTCTTAAAGAATCGTGCACCAATAAGAGAAAGCTCAAGGGCAATGAAAAGGTAAGTATGGGGGAGAATGTTTCAGATGTCTTCCAGAAAAAACTACCCCCCAAGTACAAAGACCCAGGTATGTTCACTATCCCTTGTAAACTCGGTAATGTTAGGATTGAGAGAGCAATGTTAGATCTAGGAGCTTCAATAAATGTCATGCCTCTCTCTATTTACTCATCTTTGAACGTTGGTCCTTTGAAAGAGACAGGAGTGATTATTCAACTAGCTGACAGATCTAATGTATATCCTGAGGGAGTTTTAGAGGATGTTTAGGTGCAAGTCAATGAATTGATTTTTCCTACAGATTTTTTATGTGCTTGATATGCAAGAAGATGATTATTCTAAATCAACATCAATTTTGTTAGGAAGACCATTTTTGAAAATAGCTAGGACAAAAATTGATGTAGATGATGGTACACTTACCATGGAATTTGATGGTGAAATTATTAAATTCAATATTTATGATGCCATGAGATGTCCTGGTGATGTGTCCTCTATTTTTTTCATGGATGTTATTGACCCTTTAACACAGGAAATTTTTTATTTAAATAATGATGACAAGTTGAAAGTTGCACTCAACATGAATTTCACTCCTGAAGGATTGTAGGGAATCATGAAAGAGTATGTATTGGATCTTGATTTGCAAGATACAATCCAAGAACTAGAATCACTCAAACCCATGAGGTATGATGTATCTTATATTGAGTCACCTCTTTCTCACACCAAGCTTCTTCATTCTCTTGTGCAGGCACCAAAATTGAAAACGAAACCTTTGTCAAATCATCTGAAGCATGTATATCTAGGAGAAGAGGAAACTATTTCGGTGATCATTTCCAACAAACTCTCCCACTTTGAAGAAGAAAAGTTTATTCAAATGCTTAGAGAGTACAAGGAAGCTATTGGGTGGAGAAAAAAATTCTATGAAATACAAGGTTTGGATACAGGTCAAATATTTAAAGTCGACGATCATCGTTTCAAACCTTTTTATGAAGGTTCTCTTGTGCATACTGTTGGTCAAACCATTTTGGAGTACCGAACTTAGGATGATTGAGAAGCTACAACGTCTAGCCAAAGACGTTAAAGAAAGGCGCTCTTGGGAGGCAACCCAATTTTTTTTTAATTTTTATTTTCTTTATTTTTATTTTATTTTTCCTTATTTTTCGGAATACAATTATTCTTGCTTTCCTCTTTAGGTCAGAAGATGAATTTTTGTAACCCGTGGGCATGCCTTATAAAAGTAGAATTATTCCTAAAGTCTCTCACTATCCAGAAAATGTTTTTGTATAAGACGTGCCCACGTCTAAACTCAACACCACTTCTGGTTCAGGAAACAAGATTCAAATATAAATGTGCCTCATCTTTTCTTTATTTTTGTGCTCCTTCAGAAGAATGCGCGCCACCAACCATCCTCTCTGCTCCACCTAACCCACATCTCCGCTCAGTCCGAGAATCAACCCAGCCGACGCACATCGCCTTCACTCCCATCTCGTGATAGATATCGTGGTTGATGCTCAATATTTTTAGGGGAGTTTTCTACTCTTACCCTTTTTGTGGTTTTTGAGCATCTACTTTTGATACATTGAGGACAATGTATGGATTAAGTGTGGGGAAGAGTATTTCATACATGGTTTTGCTTTGAACATAATTTTGCTTCAAATTTTTTCCGAAAAAACAAGTATGCTTTAGTTCTTGTTTGTGATTTTTCTCTACAAAATTCCAGATTCTTTCGATGTTTGTCCTTACATAATTTGGATTGTTTTGAATTATCGAATTAAGTTGAAGCATAATAGGGGATTAGCCTGAGTAGTTGAATTCTTATTTACTACACACTGGTTGATTACTCTTGATGATTGATTGAATGAAAAATGTGTGGGATTTGATATATGTTTACCCTTTTTATGAGTTTTTGGGCCAATGAGCACTCACTTTCAGCATGCTCCATTTCTTGATTGAGTGATTGCCATACATAGTTAATTTTTCTAGAACTTGCTTTACTATACATGTCGAAGACCACATTTTAGAATTGGATGCATCAAGAACGATAAGGGCATTTAGGTGAAACCACTTTTAGCTTTCGTAAAGAGCCTACACTGATTATCATCCTTAGAAAGCCAATTTTGAGCATGAGCCTTTTTGTTTGAAATTAACCATGGTATAAGTAAATATTAAATCCTTTTTGTTAATTTCCTCTCTTTTGAACCTCGAATTGGAGGATTATATGAGCTTCTTCACATGAGAATTCAAATTATCTTGAGAAGATCAGAAGATGTTGGAATATAGTGATTCGAGTTGCAATCTCTTTCATTAAAAAAAACAAAACAAAAAAAGCAAAATTGTGCAAAGGAAATAAAGAAAGAGAGATTGTGCAATGAAAAAAAAGTTATATGGCTTGAAGAGAACATTTGAAGATTAAGTTCCATGTGGATAAGTTTGTATGACTCCTTCAATAAAACAGCTCAAATTCCTTTCCTACCAAACCTCACCTAAGCCCCATTACACCCTGTTTAAGACCCTTAGGTTTTTATGCATTCAATTCATTGACTAGTGGTGGGGATGTGATAGGTTAGCAAGCCTATGGTAAAAATTTTCTATGTTTTGGCTTGAGAGTTTGTTGACACCCTTAAACACTTCGAGCGTATTGAGTGAATCCAATGTGAGGGTATTAGATCCCACTGCATTTTGATTTCGAAAAGATTGATGGAGTGATTATTCATGTGTTTTGGTTTATGAGAATTTCTTCTACGAATTTCTCGTTCCTTACTTGTGTTTAGATTTGATTCTTTAAGGCATGACAATTTTGATTGTGGAAGGATGAGCAAAGGAAGAAGAAGGATTGATGTTGAGAAGAGTTATGAATTTGAACTATTGTATGCTTGAGGACAAGCATTGGTTTAAGTGTGGGGGGAATTTGATAAGATGCATATTAGACATATATTCTATGATATTTTCCTCATATTTGAATAACTAAAATTGCTTAAATCATGGATTTTGATTATATTTCGTATTTTGTGGATTAGGTTGAAGATTTGGATAAAATAAGTTCAAAATCTAATGATTAGCATGATCTTCACAAAATCCCCAAATTAAGGAGGAAAAATCAGAATTCAAGAAGTTGGCAAGACCATAAGTGGTTTTCGCATAAGGCGTGGGCACGGCTTATTCATCCTGAACTACCGCAGAAGAAGTCTTCAGTTAAGGCGTAGGCGTGCCTTACTAGTCCGTGTAACCCTAAATTAGGGCTACGAATTTACAAAGGAAAAATAGTTTAATGACGGCTGTAAGACTCTTTTGATTTTTCTTATCTTTAGAAAAAAGAAGAGGGCATTTAAAACTCCTATTTTTGTGGGATTTTCTTTAAGGGAAACTTCCTTATCTATAATAGGAAAATCCTTAAAAAAAGGGGAGCTAGGGCTTTCATTAGTGGATCATCAAGTTTTACATCAGTTTTTATCCTTATTTTCTTTTAGTTTTCTTTCAATTATGAGTAGCTAAATACTTTTGTTCCAACTGAAGGATAATTGAAGTTTTGGTTCTTCAAGGATTGTGAGATCTAAATAATTTTCATTGTTCTTTTACTTCTTTGCTATTTATATATCTTCTGTTTTTATTAAGAATTATTTTCTTGATTGATTGTGCAAAGGATCCGTTATTCAATTATCAGGTTGATAAATTGCCATTTAGAACTTTAAATCCGTAATTGTTTAAATGTTCTAATATTAGTGGTAAAGTAACATGGTTGATTATGATTATGTTATGAAGGTATATAACCTAGTCTAAATGAATCGAGCTTGCGTATTTGTTGGCTAGAATTGGTGGTCTCTCTAGTGATTAATGATGTTGGTGGATTAAATATTAAGAGCTTGTCTAGGGTTTTTCATTAACTAGGGAAATAATCAAATAGCTTCTCTTGATTATCGAGAAACTAAGGAGAGACAGGTTGTTAGAGCTTCTCAATAACCATAACCAATTTAGTGAAAAGTAGAAGATTTTATCATTGCATCTATGATCAATTCTCTGAATCAATTCTGAAATTATACCTTTAGTTGGATATTTCCTTAATATTAATTTCTCTAAATTCTTAGTTTATTATAATTTTTTTTGTCTTTATTTTTCTCAATTTCAAAAACCCCTTTTTCATTGCTTTAATTTTCATTAAAATAAGTCTACCCAATCCCTGTGGATTCGACCTTGCTTATCACTACTACAATTTATATTTCTAAAAAGCAAGTATTATTATTTGTTGGATTCGACACCCACCAATGTTACTAAAGTTTGGGTGGTTCCTCCACCCCAGATTGTAAGTATTACTGTGTGGGTTATAAGGCCTTTGAGGAGGTCTTGGAAAATTACCCACTACATTCACTTGAGTGGTTGCGTCTTCTTGTAACGTCGGACAATAATCCATAGGATGGTCTGGCATTGTGCATATTTTGCAAAGTCTTAGTGCACTGATTTTCTCTAAAATAAGAGAATTAACTACATTAGTTAATTTATCAATTTTACTCTCTAAGGAAATTATCGGGTGGGTTCACTTGAAGGGCGGAACTATTGAGAATTAGCAATCATTGTAAAAATCAAATCTCTGACCGCTTTTGAAGTCATTTTTACTAGATCTCCTCCGTTAGCAACATCTACCATCTTTATTTTTCAAAGGGAGCAATCCTCCGTAGATGTACTAGAGAAGTGTTTGATCGGTTAATTCGTGTTGCAGACAACTTACGAAAAGCTTCTTAAATCTTTTTCCCAGTAATCATAGAATGATTCTCCATCTTTTTGTCGAATTTTAAGGATGCTTCTTCTTAATTCACTTACCTTCGCTGAAGGGAAGAACCTATCAAGAAAAAAGATGAGTCATGTCAACCAAAGTATTGATAGAGTTAGATGGTAAATGAAATAATCATTCTTTAGCCAAATCAACTAAGGAAAAAGGGAAAACATAGAGTTTGATTTGGTCCTTAGATACTACTTGTGGTTTCACGCTTGAGCAAACCATGTGAACTTCCGTAAGATGTTTATGCAGATTTTCACTTGGCAATCAATGGAAGGTAGGGAGAAGATGGATGAGATTCGTTTTTAATTGGAAATGAGTTTTACCATGAGGAAAGTCAATGCACAAAGGTTGTTGAATGGCAGGTTCCGCAGTAAGTTCCAGAATTATTTGATCGCCCATCGTAATTGGTTATTCTAGTGTGAAATGTGTATCGGCATTAGAGATGGTGTCGAGTATCAATTTTGACTATTGTTTTTGATGTTGTTTTCATTACTGTATCTTT